CCACCCTCCCACTCCCTCTTCCATCCCACCTCCTACTCCCTCTCCCATCGCATTCTTCATTAAGATTCATTTTTAATTAGCTTTATATACAGAAGACCAACTCTACTAAGATTTCAGCAGTTTGCACACACAAAGTATAAAGTACAGCTTGAAGACAAGTTTTACTGTAATTCTCATAGTACAACACGTTAAGGACAGAGGTCCTACATGGGGAGCAAGTGCACAGTGACTCCTGTTGTTGATTTAACAATTAACACTCTTATTTATGACGTCAGTGATCACCTGAGGCTCTTGACATGAGCTGCCAAGACTATGGAAGCCTTTTGAGTCCGCAAACTCTGTCAGTATTTAGGCAAGGCCATAATCAAAGTGGAAGTTCTCTCCTCCCTTCAGAGAAAAATGCATCCTTCTTTGATGGCCCGTTCTTTCCACTGGGGTCTCACTCACAGAGATCCTTCATTTAGGATATTTTTTTGCCACTGTGTCTTGGCTCTCCATGCCTGAAATGCCCAAGCCATGTCCAAAAGCCTGCCGCCTCCTTCCTGGTTGGTTTTTTTTTTTTTTTTTAACTTCAGAAGGACACTATAGCACTTGGCACTCTTCTCACAGCTGGACTCAGACTTGCAGAAGCTGTGTTTCTGTCTCGTTTCTGCTTTCCTCCGTGTAGAAGCTGGCTTGCTTTTGTCCTGTTTTGTGTGTCGTGCGTCCCATCTGTGTGCACTGGGTGACAGTCAGGAATGTGGGCGAGCTCTGCAGAGCCACAGCCCAGTGCCAGCAGGAGTGGGCTCGGGCTCAGGTTCCACTCTTGCTATTGCCTCTCACTCTTGCAATTCTCATGGTTCCTCACGGTTTTATGGCTCTGCCCTGGCAGATTTTTTTTTTTTTTTGACAGGCAGAGTGGACAGTGAGAGAGAGAAAGACAGAGAGAAAGGTCTTCCTTTTCCATTGGTTCACCCTCCAATGGCCGCCGCGGCCTGCACGCGTGGCCGGTGCACCACGCTGATCCGATGGCAGGAGCCAGGTGCTTCTCCTGGTCTCCCATGGGGTGCAGGGCCCAAGCACTTGGGCCATCCTCCACTGCACTCCCTAGCCACAGCAGAGAGCTGGGCCCTGGCGGATTTTAATCCATGAAATACTGTCCCCTAGAAGGAGAACAGAGGACGGCCATCCTTGCCAAACATGTGACAATGCCAAGGATGGAAACACTTTGGGAAATAGTTCCTTCCCGAGGGAAGACCGGAAACCCTTGACCTGAAATGTCCCTGCCTCTGACCCTGTGCAGCTTACACCACCTCTGTTCCTCCTCTCAGCCCCTACCTGGGAGATTCCTTCCTGCCTCAGGGCTGCCATCCTGCCCTACCTTACCTGGCTTTGGCCTCCACCAAGGCAGTTGCAATTCCTAAGTACTGTGTGCTGGATTAGTTTTATAAAACAGGCCAGTTTTAGAATAAGAAGGGTTTGTTTTGTTGTTTTATTGTTGGTTTAGAGAGAGAGAGAGAGAAAGAGAGAGAGAGAGAAAGATCTTTCGCCCACTGGTTTACTCCCCAAATGTCCACAGTAGTGGGACTGGGCCAGGCCAAAAGCAGGACTCCATTTGGGTCTCCTGCGTGAGTGGCAGGAACCCAGGGACTTTAGCCATCACCTGCTGCTTCCCAGGCACCTTAGCAGGAATGCTGGATTGGAAGCAGCAGCAGCTGCATAGCCAGGACTTGAACAGGCACCCCCATGGAAGATGCAGGCATCCTAAGCGGCAGCTCAACCCGCTGTGCCACAGCATCCTCCTGGCTAAAGCTTTTCCTGATGACAATCAGAAGTTCCCAGCTTCATAGATCCAGAGTAGCCCAGTCTGACCCATGGTCTGCAGTCCTGAGTGGTAGGAACAAGCCAGACATTCCCTCTCAGGACAGAGGTGTCAGCGTGGACCCTCTGGATTTGCCATGAAGAGTCCAGGAGACTCCAGAGCCACAAACAGGCAAAGTTGAGGCTTAGGAGGTGGCTCCCATACTGGGTTCATTAGTTTGTGGTTTAGTTCTCTTCTCTCTGCTTTCCTGTGCGTGTGCTCGCGCGCTCTCTCTCTGTCTCTGCGTGTGTGTGTGTGTATATCTACATAAGTATAGACAGATAGTAGGGGTCTTCAAAAAGCTTGCATATTATGAAAAAGTTCTGTGCATGAATTTCAATTTTTTTTGTCCCAGAATAAACTTACCTTTGAATTTTATTTTCCATGAACTTTTGGAAGAACCCTCATGTGTATGTGTGTGTAATTGTGGCAAAATACAGCAAAAATGTGAATAGTAGTGTGGGGATATGGGCATTCATTATATTATTCTTTCAACTTTTCTATGTATTTTAAAAATTTCAGAATGAAAAGCTGAGTTAAAAAACTCAAAATATATCATCTATGAAGTTCTAAAAAATGTTGGCTTTTGATTATGATTGATTTTTATTTATGCCACTGTAACTTTTGTGTCTTGTAAAAAAGCCTTTTATCAAGAGCAAATGTTTCTTTAGAATATAAAACACTCATGCTTACAATATATTTTAAGTTGTCATTATAACTCGATATTTTAGTTAGCATTCATTACATATAACCTTCCCAAAATATTGTTTGGAAGCTATGTAATTTTGAGGCATTTTGACTGTTTCAATGGAAGCAAGTAACTAATGCTGTTGACTAATTGAGCAGAGTAGAATTCCTTTAGAAGGGAAACAATTTATGCATGTTTTTAATTTTTTTGGTTAATATTTAATTATTTATTTGAAAGCCAGAGTGACACACAGAGAGAGAGCCCCAAATGACTACAACATCCATGGTTGGTCCAGGCTGAAGCCAGGAGCTCAGAGCTCCATCTGGGTCTCCCATGTGGGTGTCAGGGTCCCAAGCACTTGGTCCATCATTCTGCTGCCTTCCAAGGTGCATTAACAGGGAGCTGGATCGGAAGCAGAGCAGCCAGTATGGAAACTAGCACTCCAGTATGGGATGCAGGCAACAGCTTAGTCCACTGCACCCTCACATCAGCCCCTGCCTGTCTTTTTGTTTGTTTGTTTGTTTGTTTGTTTATTTTAAAGAAATTGCCTCTATGCCCATATTCGAAGGGTGAAAAGACTCTATGCCCATTTAGTCTGGGGTAATCAATCAGGATATACAATTGCCGTGTGGGGCTGCAGGGTGAACAGGAACCTTACGCTGGACAAGAGCAAGTGGCCTTCTTCAGTTTTCTCACTCATAAAATGAGATAATGGCACCTGCTGGCCAGTAATTGAGGCACTCCAACAGGAAACACTCCCTAAAACAGTGGGTGGTGTTGTTACCGAGTTTTATCTAATCTGAAAAAATATAGAATTGCAGATAGTAAATGAATGGGATATCATGGTTCTAGAATTACCAGTTCTGGATGGAGACAGATCGGGTAAATCCCTGTCTTTGTAGATCTGTCTTCATCAAATACTATCTCTGAGTATCAAATGATTCATTGGGAGATGCTAAGAGAAAAAAGTTAGACAACATTAATTTGACAGAGTTTATTTGCACAAAGAGTGATTCATCAACGAGCAGCATTCAACACCGGAAGGGGTTTGGAGGGCTCTGTTCCCATGGCACGTGCTCTGAGCTTCTCTGGGGGAATGCAGAATGGAAGGTTGGTTCCAGTTGAGCATTGGCCTTATTTGGGTGTGGCTTGATGAAGGTCCCAAGTCGTGTAACCAATTGGTTGGTTGGCCATTTGCAATTGGCTGAGGGTTGTTTTTCTTTCTTTCTTTCTTTTTTTTTAGTCAGTTACTAGAAATGTCTCCTGATTAAATTGCAGTTTGGTTGTGTAAGGGCCACAGGTGCAGAGACAACCTGCTATTTTCTCACCTTCTTGTGTGCAATAAATGAAATAGTTCTTTGTACCTCCTTTTCAGGAACATATAATTTTTTTTTAATTTCTCAGAAAAAGTTCAGTAAACTTTAGGGCTCATTTTCAAAGATTTGTTTACTGGAAAGTCAGTGACAGAGAGACAAGGAGAAATAGATCAGCCATCTGCTGGTTTATTTCCTAAATGCCCATAGCAGGGGCTGGGCAGAGCTGAAACCAGGAGCCCAGAACTCAATCCAGGTCTCCCACAGTGGGGGCAGGGACTCAAGTACACAGAGCATCACCTGCTGCCTCTCAGGATGCACACCAGTAGGAAGCAGGGTCAAAAGTGGGGCTGTGACTTGAACCAAGGCACTCCAGTAAGGGATGCTGCACCCTCACTGCTCCACCTAATGCCATTTCCAGGCCTTTTTTTTTTTATTTTTAAATCTTATGACCAAAGCAAATGAGCATGTATGCTTCTTGAAGCTTTTGTGAGCCACATAAAAGTATTTGCATTCATCCTTGCTGTCCTAGCAAAAAAAACAATTCTGTTCCTATAAGTAATGCAGTCTTAGAGAAGTTGCAGGTGTGACTTTTCCCTCCCAGGGTTATCTTTCCTCCTTGGTGCATACTCAGACGAGACTGGGGTGCGTTCAGGGTGGTATGGCCAAAGACCTGGCGGAAGAACTCTGGGAACCTCCCCCCCCCCCCCCCCCAGAGCGAAGGGAAGTGACAGGTGCCTTGGGAGGTTATGAAGGATCCTTAAGTTCATTCCGAATCGAGGCTTAAGTGTGACTTCAGACACCTGGGGTCTTGAGGGCTCATCTCCATGGTGCACCAGATGTCGCTTGGGCCAGCAACTGGGGCTTTGCAATTCCATGAGGCATTTTGAAGGAGCCGAGCTGCCACCGTGGCACCACCATCAGCTCTTGATCTGGCTAATTACAGGCTGCCTTTCTGGTTCCCTAATGAATGTGTGTAGCATCCCTTCATTTCTGAATGCCACTTGCATTGGTATAGAATTATCAGGGCTCTTGGAGGAAGATTAAAGGGACCCTTGTTTTTAAAATCTATGCATTTAGTCTTTTGGATTAAAGTCACTGTTATCTTGAATCCTCTATTAAAGCATCGTCTTTTTTTTTTTTTTTAACATTTTTATAGCATGTCAATGAAAAAACCAGTGGATCGCCTTCCAAACCAGGAGAAAAGAAAGGACCAGATGAGGTAATCCCACAAGACTGGGTTTTCAATGTCTTGCTTATCAGCTGTGAATTCTGTCTTAAGTTATGATGTAGCAACGTGCTTCTAATGGAATTAGCAAAATCAGTTGTAACTAAGAGTTGATTCAAGAATGTAAGTGAAAACTGTTAAAAATGAATAAAATAACAAAGCATTCCTTAGAAAAGAATCTAGGAATAGAACTTAGGGTTTTTGTTTTGTTTTAAGAGTGTTTTCCCTGTAGAGTTTGGTGAATCGTAACAGTTTTGTTGGTGGCCGGTGTAGAAGGAAGACCAAGTGCTGTCCTGAAAAAGGACATTGTCTTTTTCCTATGAGTGCACAAAAGGGACAGTGATGGCCTAGATGAACCACTCATTCAGGTCTGCAGACAAAAGGCAGTGAGAACTCTTTTTGCGTCAGTTCTGTGGAAACACCTGAAAAACCCAAATCTCCACACTTTGAGAATGGGTTTTCGTGGCTCCTGTGGCTTTCTCCTTTCTCTGAAGGAGGCACTGTTATGTCCACTGTCAGCACTGACCCCCTTCTCCGTGAAAGGGTCCTGCAAAAGATCTGCCCCCCCCTCCTTTTAAAGATTATTCACTTGATTGAAAGCGAGAGTTACAGAGAGGGAGAAACATAGAAAGAGACCCTTCATTCACTGGTTCACGCCCCAGTGGCTGCAATGGCTGGGGCTGGGCCAGGCTGAAGCCAGGAGCCTGGAATTCCATCCTGATCTCCCAGGGGGGTGGCAGGGATCTGAGCACTAAGGCCCGCTTCTGCTGCTTTCCCAGGAGCATTAGCAAGGAGGTGGATCAGAAGTAGAGCAGCCAGGACCTGAACCAACATCCACATGGCTGGTTCACTTTCTTTTGCTTGCCAACTGTGAATTCTGTCTTAAGTAATGAGGTAGCAAAGTGCTCCTAGTGGAATTAGCAAATTCATTTGTAACTAAGAGTTGATTTAAGAGTGTAAGTGGAAACTGTTAAAAATGAATAAAATAACAAAGCAGATGGCAGCTCAACCCACTGCGCCACAGCACAGACCCCAAGTTCTGTCCTTTAAGAGGGTACTGCATTTGCCTCCATGAGTTGGCTTTTATGAGTGAAGGCTCTGTGGGTAGAATCATCGTCATTCAATCCAAATGCACCATTTCCAGCTTCTAGATGTCACCCACTCAGGTCTTGAAAGGTCAATGGAATTTGAGGAAGCATAAAGGAACTGCTCTACTGCTCCTCTGTGTTATCAGTATTAAGCAGGTTAGTTTGGAGTTTGTTTTTCTTTCTGTCCTTTTGAAATACTCAGTACGTGAGGAGAGTCTAGGTAGCACCTGCTATGTATTCATTGTTTCCTTTACCAATACTTACGAATATAGTTTAGTTTTCTTCTCAGCCAGATTTGTAGTGTTTTTTTTTTTTTTAATTAATGGAAGGCAAATGCTTCTTTGAGAATAAAAAGTAAAAGTGAGCTTCTATTAAGATTTCATCTGGCCAGTGCCGTGGCTCAATTGGTTAATCCTCCGCCTGTGGCGCCGGCACACCAGGTTCTAGTCCCCATTGGGGCGCCAGGTACTAGTCCTGGTTGCTCCTCTTCCAGTCCAGTTCTCTGCTGTGGCCCGGGAGGACAGCGGAGGATGGCCCATGTGCTTGGGTCCCTGCACCCACATGGGAGACAGGGAGGAAGTACCCGGCTCTGGCTTCGGATCAGCACAGCGCCGGCCATAGCGGTCATTAGGGGAGTGAACCAATGGAAAGAAGACCTTTCTCTCTGTCTCTCTCACTGTCTATATCTCTTTCTCTCTCTCACTGTCTAACTCTGCCTGGCCAAAAAAAAAATTTCATCCTATTTCTTGGTTAAATTACTTTTTGATAGTTTTAAAAATGTTTTTATTTGAACAACAGAAAGGAGGGGGGTGGCATCCTCTGCTGTGTTCCCAAGCACATTAGCAGGCAGCTGGATCAGAAGCAGAGCAGCCAGGACTCAAACTGGCACTCTGATACGGCATGCTGGCATTGCAAGCAGGAGCTTATTAACCTGCTACACCACAATGCTGGCCCCTTGGTTCAGTTATTTACAAATACATTTAAACATGGAAAACAACATTCTCTCTTACTGGCAAGAAAATCTAAATGGTGTCATTCAGTCCCTTTAACTACTCTTTATTGTGTTCAGAGAAGTTATCCATCAAATTAGCTAATTCGGTAAATAATGAATACTTCTTGCCTGAAAACTATGGCATCCGTTTATTGTGTATTAAAATTGATGCAGTGGGAGACCAGGAGGAAGCACCTGGCTCCTGGCTTTGGATTGGCACAGTGTGCCGGCAATAGCGGCCATCTGGGGGTGTGAACCAACGGAAGGAAGACCTTTCTCTCTGCCTCTCTCTCTCACTGTCTAACTCTGCCTGTCAAAAAAAAAAAAAATTGATGCAGATTAAGCTATTAACACTAAAAGGAAATTTTCCCTTCCAGTATAGTCAAGTGCAGTCACCCTGATGAATTATGTTATAACTTGGAGGCTTAAATATTACAGCGTGAATGTAAAGGCTTACTGATTCAGGCAGTCCTATTGGCGCAGAGTTAAGTCTTTGTATGTTGTCTGGATTATAAAGCTCCTCAACTCCATATATATGAAAGACTTGGAAAGCACTGCTAAGTAGCTCTGTTGCAAATCCACCAGGGAGGAACCCAAGATTTCTGTGTCCGGAGAGGCAGACTGTACTTTGGTTTTGAAACTGAAAAGCTGAACTTCTACTTCAACAGGAAGAAGAAGGGATTTTACGATTTAGAGGTTTGGCAATTCAAACAATCTTGGCGTTGTGCCATAATGTTTGCTGGGAATCTCAGATTGACAGCTCCTGCCTGGGAATATCTCTTCATTTCGCTTTCTTCCCAATCAGCAGAAGCAAAGTGGGGGGATAGAGGAGTTTCCTCCCCTCTCCCCCCAATGGCTTAACTCACGGCTTTAGACAACGTAGATTTAACAGAGTTCATTTGAGCAAAGAATGATTTGCGAATCGGGCACCAATCAAGCTCTCCCACCAGATTCCATCCTTGTCTATTTTGCATGTCTGCAGTGGGCAATCATGGGAGTGGGTGACTGGGTAGAGAATGTGTGTCTCCCAATCAGTCTGTTCCCAAAGTGTCTCTATCCTTGTGCTTGGTGCCAATAAGCCCTCTAGGAGATGTTACGGCCCTGGAGACAGATAAAGGAAACTCTCCTACATTATGTGTTATTTTAGACTCCACGTTCACAAGTACGATGCGCTTTGCCATCTGGGCTTCTTATCTGCCCTGGTTAAATAACTTCTTCTCCCCAGCATTTGCACAGATTCTGATCAAGTCTCCAAAGACAAAGCAAGTTCTTTTGTATCAGTCAGTTTTCTGGTGCTATGATGAAAGTGGCTGAGACTAGGTACTTTATAAAGAAAAGAGGTTTAGCTCACAGGTAGGAAGCCTGAGAGTCCACGATTGGGTGAGTCCATGATTCAGGGGCTGACAAGGGCCGCCCACAGTGGCTGGACCCCATCACAGCAGGTGCATCATGTGGGAGTGTGACAGGAAGCCAGAGCCCACAGAGGGTCCATTCTGCCTAATGATACCACCCTGTGAAGGTCCCTTCACCTTCCACATCACCACAGTGGGAACTGAGCTTCTACTACGTGAACCCTTAGGGACAAACCACCCCCAAAACCAGAGCACCTTTAAAACAGTCATGTTGAAAATTTATGTTCAATGCTTTTGGGTACTTCCTGCTGGTTATTCCTTGTGTATTTTTATGCTGTATTTCATTTAGAGGTATAAGAGAAGGACTTCAAGAGGATGCGATCAGGAGAGAAAATGATTAGGATTAGGAGAGAATCACTATTATATTGTCATTTACAACAATAGATGGGCTGGGGACGGTGTTGCGGCATAGCGGGTAAAACTGTCACCTGCAATGCTGGCATCCCATATGGACGCCTGTTCAAGCCCCAGCTGCTCTACATCCAATCCAGCTCCCTGCTAATGGCCTGAGAAAAGCTGCAGAAGATGGCCCAAGTGCTTGAGCCCTGGTACCCATGTGTGAGACCCAGATGAAGCTCCTGGCATCTGGTTTTGGCCTGGCCTGACTCTGGCTGTTACAGCCATCTGGGGAATGAACCAGCAGATGGACGGTATCTCTTTCTCTCTGTCTCTCCCTCTTTGTAACTCTGCCTTTAAAATAAATAAATTCTTAAAATAGATGAGCTGAGCACAGCCATGTCAATTTCTTGTCTCTTCTTCTCCTTTGTTGTTGTTAGCTCTTGCTTTTTGTACTATAACCACTATGGATCTGTCAGATGATCCCAAGATACCTGCACAACTTTAATAGAATGTTACAACTAGAATATCATTTGTCTTGTTGCATTGGCAACACAAATCCTTGAGGCTAGAGTAGGGGAAGTGTCTATGAGAATTTATGTTTATGCCACCATTGTGAATTTGTCAAGTCCTTCTTAGATGCAGAGGAGTTTTAAGACCTGTGGATAAACAAACCAAAGACAGAATGAGTAGAAGACAGGAAAAGGAAAAATCAACACACCTAACATCAGCATCTTCAAATACAGGGGAACTGAGAGGTCTTTCCAAAAGTGTCATCCTATCTGTTTCAAGTATTTGACTGACACATTTGGCCACTGATCCTTTTAGCAACATATTTCAGTGGCATCCCGGGGAAGCCCATTGGACAGAGACCTCGTGTCTGCTGGTTCATTCCCTAGGTTCCCACGGGGGTCCCTGAGTGGGATCCAAGCTGGGGGCTGGGAGCTCAGTCCAGGTCTCCCACGTGGGTGTGAGGGACCAACCACTTGAACCATCACCACTGCCTCCCAGGGTGCTTCAACCAGAGGCTAGGACCGGAAGGGAGTCTGGAAGCATACTCTGGTTTGGAGGAGGGAACTTCCTGTTGGGTGAGTTGTGTGGGATGTTGTTCCCACCAGCAGGTGAGTCAGCCATCACCGGCAACCCTGGGAGCATGCTCCAGCAAGC